TTAGATGGGTCTCTGTTAGAAGGCCCACGTCGATGCTGTGCTTGCGGAGGCAGTCGGCAAACTCAATCTGTTTTGCTCTTACAGAGCTAGCCTTCCAGGTAGCGATGGTTAGAGGTTTAGACACCATACTGGGTGATGAACTTACCGAGCACTTGGATCTGTTCGGGCTTATTGCGGCACTTACGTAGAGCACCGCTCGTGTTGATGAAAATTTATATCAGTTCATCTGCTGAGAACACATCGGAATTATTTTTTTTTTGAACTGTTGGTTGTCTCCAGAATCCAGGGGAGGATGGAGAGCTTTGTCCAGCAGAAGATTCAGACGTTTATTGAGGGAGGTAGATCGCACCCTAGGATTCGCTTGTCCATGAAGAGGCGGAAAGTCCGCTGCCGTGAAAGTCGGGGCCTTATCTCTCCTTCGTCCTGATTGATTGTTGGTGGACGTTAGTTTTCGGATGCGCTTGAAATCCTCGCGTTTTGGGCACTGCTTGTTGGATCCTTGGCGGTGGTGACTGAAGTCGGTGTCAACGTGGTTTCTGCTAGATGCTACCTGTGTAAAGATTACCACCATGTCAACTGGGTGCAGTACGGACAAATGGTGGACAGCAACATCGATGAAAATCCACCGCTTGACACCGTAGATGATATCGACCGGGCGTTGGAAGGACTCCAACAGGCCATATCCATGGCCGACGAGGCATACGTTCGAAAAGTTCCTGTGAGGGGTAAGTTTGTTGAGAAATGTTCGTAGACGCCAGTTTCAAAGGACTGGAGATCTTGGCAAAAAACGTGAAATGGCCGATCTGAAGAGGCAGATTGCTTCCAGAATGGACTCACTCCGAAATGAAAGTTTCGGGCGTGTTGTCCAGAATCTGTACGACCGCTCCAGACCATTCTGGAAGGTAGCCAAGGTCCTGAAAACTCATCCCAATCCCGTTCTACCTCTCAGAGTCGAAAATGATGACGATCGAATTTTAATCACCCCACAGGAGACAGCAAATGCGATCGGCGAGCATGTCGTTTCATCGCATTTGCTTGGCTCGACTATCCAAAGTCCGCTCGAAGATCAGGTTGCGCAATGCGTTCAAAACCTAGATGTCTCCCCTTGTGTGTGCCTCCGGCGGATATGATTACAGTACAACAGATTTGCTCAGCGCTGAAATGCACCAAGAACATGAAGGCTCCCTGGTTTGAATATAATTTCAACTTGATCTTGAAGAGACTCAGCATGAAAGTGCAGTCTCTTCTAACCGCTATCTTCAACAGATGTTTGGAACTGCACTACTTTCCAAGCATCTGGAAAGTAGCAAAAATCATACCAATCCGCAAGCCCGGTAAGGATCCAACATTGCCTTCAAGCTACATACCAATCAGCCACCTTTCAGCGCTTAGCAAATTGGTCGAGAAACTCATTCTCAATCGTTTGCTCAAGTTTGTCGAGGAAAATAACATTCTCCTTTCGGAACAGTTTGGATTCAGAAAGGGGCACACCACCAAACACCATCGGATGAATAACATCCGAAGCAACAAAGCTGTATCCAAGTCCACAGCCATGGCCTTGCTAGACGTTGAGAAGGCGTTTTACAATGTTTGGCATGATGGACTTGTGTACAAGCTTTGTAACTTCAACTTCCCATTACATCTGGCTAAAATCACCCATAACTACCTCCAGCAAAGGTCGTTTAAGGTTCGTTGAATGGTTGTCTTTCAGACACGTTTTCCATCCCAGCAGGAGTCCCGCAAGGCAGTCTGCTGGGCCCCTTGCTTCACAGCATTTACACTTCTGACATTCCTCCCCTCGGAGACGGTTGCGTGTTTCCTGCGTGTCAAAGGAACGATGCCTCCCGAAATAACGAACAAACTTCAACGGTGCCTAAACGCCTTTACTGATTATGCCACCACGTGGAAAATCAAAATCAATTCCTCCAAAACACAAGCGATCATGTTCCTCCATCGGCAATCACCCAAACTGAAACCGGCTCCATCTTGTACTGTAATCATGGATGGTACAAGGGTTGAGTGGTCTGTCGAAGTAACCTATCTCGGGATGTTGTTCGATGAAAAGCTCCTCTTCCGTTCGCATGTAGAGAAAACTGTAGTCAAGTGTTCTACCTTGGTTAGGTGTCTGTATCCGCTGATTTGCCGTAGATCACAAAGCACCTGCGATCCTCTACGCAGCTCCGGTGTGGGAATCATGTGCACAGACTCACAGGAACAAAATTCAGGTCACTCAGAATAGAGTGCTGAGAATGGTTCTTGATCGTCCTTTCGACACTAGAATAACAAATTTACACGAAGAGTCAGGCATTTCCAAAATAGATTCCAGAATTAACGAAATGAAGACTTAATTTGCACAAAAAATGTAATTTATCAGAACATGCTTTGATAAGCAATTTGTATATAGTAGATTAGGTGTATATAGTAATTGTAGGTTAGTTTTAGTTGTAAATAGTAGTCACCCACCCTAGTAATAAGTAGTTTCTTTTTTTCAATTTAAAACAAACCAATACCACCAAGGTGGTCATTCTCTAAAACAGGCCTGATAGGACTAGGAACTGTAACTAATAATAATTGAAATTCAAAAGAACTAAAGTTGAAAAGACGCATCTGTGTCACTTGATAAGCAATACATGTAAACCACACAAATACAAGAAATAAAAAATCATTTTCGTTTTAGCGCCATATAGTGAGCAAATACCGTCATACACTATCACTATATTTTAAAAATTACCGCTCCCCCAAGAGAACCTCATACAAAAAAATTTGAAAATTTAAAAAGAAAGTCCATTAAATTTATTTAACAAATCATTTGAATTTTCAGAAAACTATTTAAATCTCGTGAAAAAGCGGCTAATTGAATTTGGGGTCCAATTGACCCTTGGAAAGTATTTGATTTTTTTTTCAATCATTATATTTTCAAGTTTTTGGAGAAGATTTCATATTATATTACAGAGCGTCTGTGGATGCACTTAGTAATGAAAGAATTATTCAAATCCATTGACAAATAAAAAAGATACAACTTTTTAAAGTGACCTCAGGTCAAATTGACCCCAAGGTTCAGACAAAGGGTTAATTAAGGCGATTTGACGGGTGATTTGGGATTCAAAATCGTTAATCGCGTTTATCTTCTTAATTAAGGCCATTATTGCGGATTTTTGATCGTGTCGATGAAGGGTGGAAGAAGATCGTCTGTTTAAGACGTGTTAATAGGAAATGCATAGCAAATCCTTCTCAAGAGCAGTTGTTATTGCCGTATTTGAGGTCGCCGCGGCGTGCCGTCGGAACCGAAATTTAGTAACAACAAATTGAACTTGCTCGTAATTGTTTTGTGATATGAAGAGGTCGGTGGTCTAGGGGTGAACGATTTTGCTTATTGAGCAAAAAAATATTAATTCAATCTCAAACTCCATCACATTATATAGTTTTAGGGTAAATTGGATTTATTCTAACATGAGATAAAGCTTACAATACGCTTTGGTTGGATTGGAAATCTATAACAAATCCTTCTCAAAAGCAGTTGTTTTCGAAGTAACAACCAGTTAACTGGAAACTTGAGCATAATTGTTTTGTGATATAAGGAGCTCAGTGGCCTGGTGCGACCGTTTTGCTTACTGAGCAGAAGACCGTGGGTTCAAACCCTGCTGCAATCCCAACCCAGCGAGTATTTCGTAAACATATTCCTACCCGTTCCTTTCTTGATCAGTATTCGGTCGTGGCCGGCGCTGGAATTGCCATGTTTTAGATTACTAGTTTTTACACATTGATGATGCATGTTAGTCCCATGCAAAGTTTATTGGCTCTCTGTGCAATTACAGCTGATCAGGCAATAACGGTGGTGCATCCTCGGGCGGTCAATCATGCTCATGCTCTTTTGTTTTTATTTTCTTTGATTTGTTTTCCGTCGATCTTGATTTTTCCTTACTGAGTACCTATGCTACCGACGCCAGGAAGGCAGCTCCCACACATGGACTCTACCTATCGAACCATCAACTCCTGAACCGGGAATCAACGGCTTTACTTCCGAAGGAAGACGTTATCAGAAATTTTTTGCCTCAGAAAATCCCGGCGGACTGGGATTAAACCCAGGCTTTTTGGGGTGAGAAGCAATCACGCTTACCAACTCATGCTCTACAACACCTGGTAACAACTGACTTAGCTATACTCAATTATGGTCCTATCGATATTTGATGTTATTTTTGATATTTTAACTATTATATCAAACTAATAGCAATTCTTGATGATATGTTTCTAATTTAAATAGTAAAACTTGTTATTTATTTGATATTCTCGTCCTTTCGGGTTAATAGTGATTGTCATAGCAGCCACATACTAATTTTTACAGCGTTTGGACTACTTAAACCAAAGTTAGAGCTATATCTGAGAAATGTAAACTTTGTCCTTAGTAATTCCCATACAAACTTCAAACCATTTGCGCCAAATCTATACATTCATCAATCTTTACCATTGATTGCAAATTTTATCTTAATCAAATAATATCTTAAGTTTACTCCGCAAGAAACGTACACCTTCGTAAAACTTTTATAAACACGTTCATCAATCGACGGGAAATGTCAATGCCATTCGATTAATTATTAAACGTGTTTGGATCGAAATTGAATCAAATCACAAATAGTAGGCATGTGCCATGTGGGACACACACACATTTTTTCCCCGTTAGCGTGGAAAAAGCATCACACATGCTCTCACCCGCAGCGCCCTGGAAAATGCGTCTAATCCATTAATCTTTCTATCAAACCAATTTCGGAGAAAAATCACACCACAACCTTGAGTGGTGGGCTTAAAACCTAACAGAAATGCAAAAAAAAAGTCTTTCAGGCCAGAATTCAAACTTCCCACAACCACAGCTTGCAAATGAACCCGGCTGCGAGGGTGAGTTCCAGCTCCGCCACTCACCGTCGGAAAAGCGCAACAGGACAAACCACCATCTGGACGCTCTGGTGCTGCTGGTCACATCAGTAAGGCTCCGGAGTTGTACCTCGGTAGATGTGTCGCACTTTCATCCTTCCGTGACCTCGGTTACTACCGACCGACTTACTTGCTGCTGCTAGTTGACGACGACGGTCTGGTCTGGAAGCTGCAACACAGTGCTCGGTTAACGATCGTTCATGTGTACAAAGAAAAATATTGATTTTTCCATCCCACCCCTCCCTAGGTCTCGGGTGTGCGCCAGTGACGACAACGACGTTAGTGAAAGTTGCAAATTTTCCGGATGGTACAATGGTACAGTCATAACCGTTTCGGTCAGCAGCACCGGGTTCCGTTAATGTTTTGACACTAATTAAATGGGTGAAATTGGAGCATCAGATCGGGCTAGTGCGTGTCGTGTCATGTGGTGTGGATCCTTATTGTTTGCCACAGGATAGAGTGAGGCTTAATGTGTGTAAAATTTTGGCTACATTTGTACGCCTGCCATAACGGGTGGTAGATTTACAACAACGTATCGGTTGAGTGTGTTCGGTCACGCCAATTGCTCGGAGACGGAGTACATGTGACAAATTGTGGGTGTGGATACCGGGAATCGGAAGGAGCTGACCATCTGTTGCCATCGTTGCAGCAGGATCGAGTGGATACATCGGAACCGTTTTATGAAGGTAAACATATTTGTGGCAGCAGTTGATTAGTTGGACGATTTCGGTTACCGTGCTGCTTGTTGCTTAGTAATGAGGTGTTTACACTTTAATTCACGTGCTGGAAACAATTCTTCGGTGCTGATTAACCTTGGCGCAAACTACACCAATTTAGGTAAATCAGCACATATGAACCAGCACATATGTAAATAGGGCATAAGGGTATCCCTGCTGAGATTTTCACGATACAGTGTTCTCAGAAGAGCATATTTTGAGGTTTCTGCTAGTGAATCTTAGAAGCCATCAGTCCGGGGATTAACACAGCACCATCCGGTATTTCTGAGAATTTTACTTGTTTGGCAGATCTTCGTTATGATGGGATTTTGAAGCAGTCAATTGCGTGCGCATCATTTTGATTTTGAAGCGTCACTACTGGCACATACTTATTTAAGAATAAAAAAAAAGGATTATTTTCTAAGTTCAATGTTCCACAATCCATCAATAATTGTACGAGCTATGTTATCCTGAATCGTATACAGTAGAAAATCACCGGTAATATCCGACGGCTGCTTGCAGGTTGACAAATTCTAAGCGTATTTGTATTTGATATTCATTGACCACGAAGAAGCTATCAACCGGCCCAATCTCGAGAATCTGTGGGGCACCCTGAAATTTTCTATAGGCACACCCAACCAGGGGATGTAAATATTGCTTATAGAAATGAAGGATTCATCATCGCAAGATGTTAGTGGAGACCGCATAAATGAAGGAAAAGATATAGGGCAGAGAACTATTTCGGCCTAAGTGCCCATTTTGGGCCTATCAAGCAGAAAACATCAAATAAATCCATGTTTTCGGTGTTCACAGGTAGATTATGCGTTTGGTACGATACTTTAGTTCAAAAGCTACCGAACAAAGTCAATGAAAACGCGTGATATGAACGTTTGCACCCAAAATTCCCAAAAACAAAAGCTCCGACCGAATCAATTTTCATCTTCATCCGATAGGCCGAAGTGAATTCATTGGCGTTTCAATGCGTTAGGCCGAGTTTAGAATCCGTAGGCCGAGTTTGGCGTCAAGAAGAAGTGTTATACTTTTAACAATATCTCAACAATTTGTTTCTCTTTATCAAATCTTAAGGTATGTACGGAAAGGTAAATAATTTTGGAAGCCATCAGTAACAATAACATTCCGTTTGGTGATAAACTGCGATATATTAAGAAAGACTAAGCGCGGGTTGTGCTTAATAGGCCGAAAATGTGGTAGTTAACCCTACCAAGCTGTGGTCCAATGCAAGAAAATAGAGAGAAAAAGAAAAATGTGGAGTGTATTAGCGAGTGAAATGAATCATGTTAATAAAAATAGAAAACAGTTTGCCGACTGGACTAGAACCACGAGCGTTTCGATTATCAGACCTGTCCTTTATCCACAGATGATGCTTCAGAAAATGGATAGGCTAAAATCGAATGAGAAGTGCTTAGTTCCCCTCATACTCGATTTCGTCTGCTTTTTCTGCTGAACGGGAATTGAAGAGAATCGAGGCAAGTGTGTGCGCCGTTCTACAATGTTATAAATAAAATATTTGGTTTAAAGTCTGGAACGCGCAAAAAATGGTCAACTTCAAATTGGTGTATTTCTGTTAAAAATGCATAAAAAAACCTGAAATGCTGCATTTGGAAGTTGAGTGTATATACAATGGTTGCTATGATGAGTTTTCACCGTTTGCTCTCCAGTTTTCAAAATGACGTTAATGTTTATTGTTGCCATACATCAACAGGCTGGCTGTAGCCCAAATGATGTTAATAATACTACGTGACGTCCAAGCAAGAGGAGCAGCGTGTCAAAATTTTGCTCGCGCAGCAAGAGAATCTGACGTTCTCACACGCCAAGTTGGCAAAATTGATGGATGTGGCCAAATCGAACGTGACAAACGTTTTAAAAGTGTTTAGAGAGCGTCTATCAACCACCAGGAAACCTGGAAGCGGCGCCAATCGTAATCCGGACGTGGCAGCGACGACGAAGAATGTGGCGGTGAAATATAACGGATTCCTAACCTCTCCATCCGGGACGTCGCTGGCAAGCTCAATGTCTCCCATACTACTGTACTAACCGAGACTACAAACAAAACACGTCGGCAAAGCAGCGGTCCCGAAAGCTGTATACGAATCTGCTCACAAAGTTCGACTGTGTCGTCATGGACGACGAAACTTATGTGAAGGCGGATTTTAAGCAGCTTCCGGGACAGGAGTTTTATACCGCATCAGGAAAAGGGAAGGTGGCTGAAATTTTCAAAACCATCAAACTATCGAAGTTACCGTAAAAATATCACGTCTGGCAGGCCATATGCACGTGTGGTCTAAAAAGCGGCATTTTCATTACTACGGGAACCATCAATCAAGAGATCTACGTCCAGGAGTGCCTGGAAAAGTGGCTGATACCATTCGTAAAGCAACATAATAGACCTGTGTTGGTCTGGCCGGACTTGGCGAGCTGCCACTATGGGAAAAAGGCAATCGAGTGGTACGATGCGAACAACGTGGATGTGGTACCCAAATACCACAACCCTCCCAACAGCCCAGAACTCCACCCTATCGACCTATTGGGCCTTGGTCAAACGGAATCTAAAAAAAAAAATCTTTGGAAAATGAGCAGCAGTTTAAATCTAACTGGTGTTCGGCGGCGAATAAGGTCGATGAGACCACTGTGCAAAATTTAATGGAAGGGGTGAAGCGGAAGGCACGGCAGTTCGGATTTGGCAAGCCAAAAGAATAAACGAACATTTTTTTCCTTTAAAAAGGGGAAATGACGGCTTCGGCATGACAGACTATTTTCGGCAACCCAAATTGAAACGCCCATTTCACTGGATTTTCTTACGAAAACACTTCGCTGAATGCGTTCAAACGATTCTTTAGGCTTTCAGCTTCAATTTGATAATTTTTTTTACCACTGAGAAAAAGTAATCGAGCAGGGTTTTCTTGAAATGAAACACGCACTACAAAATGCTACTGATTTCGAGTTGCCGATGAAAGCACAGCTGTTTAACACGCAGCTCAAATAGAAAGGTTGCCGAATAAAAAGATGTTGCCCACAATAGTCGCTCTCACTGGAGAAGATTGGAGCTTTGTGAAAGTGTTTCAAAACAGTTTTTGACAATTCTTTCGACTGGAATTGTTAGAGCAGTTGGCAGCAAAATATTGTAAGAAAACAAATAATGCATATGTTTGTGTTCCTTAGAGAGAAAGACTATAGAAAGTTGATCGCTGCTTAGGTTGCCGAGAAAACGTAAATTCTCTTATATGAATTGAACTTCCAAAAGAAAAATAAGAAGATTTTTGAGGAATGAATTTAGACTGAAAGAAACGATTTTTTGTCGACCAATTTTTGCGCGTTCCAGTCTTTAGTCGAAAACGTAGACAGAACACGAATAAAAAAAAATAAAAAAAATCATCGTCTGCAAGGTATGTATATATATCATTCACTGCGGAGGATGATAGTCAATGCAACTTACATTCAATGTAATATATTTTTAGTTTGCATGTAGAACTAACGATAAATTAAAATGAATTTCCAGTGGAAGATGGTGGAAACTTTTTGAGAGCTTGGAAGGAAGTTCCAGAGCTTCCGGGTGAAGTTGAAAAAAAAGCTTCAGGGGAATTCTGGAAGAAACTTACTGATGAAGCTGTCAGAATCTAAAGAGAAAATGCTTTCTGAATAAAGCCATGAACATTTATTTGAAATCTGAATTAGACCCTAGGGCCAAAAACTGGAATCCAGTGCCATAATTGGCTCAGTTACCCTAGCTTCCCTGAGGTTTTTAACTCAAGTTTTACGACTCTGAAGTCCTTAAAACTTCTTAAACGTTCCTACAGTTTTCTTGAAGCGTTGAAGTTCTTGAAGCTTCTCTGAAGTGCCCGAAAATATATAGAAATGCTCAGAACTTCCCTTATTATCCCGCAGTCCGTTCAATTCCTCGGAACTCCTTTAAAGTTCCTAAAAAGTTGGTGAACCGTCCTGAAGTTATCTTATTTTTCCTGAAGTTCATGAAAGGCCATTCTTCTAAGAATGTTCATGGAATTGCCCTGAATGTTTCTTAACATTCCAACGTTTTCTACACCTCCGTGAATATTTTGGATAGAAGTTTCCGAAGTTTTTCATAAGTTCTTACAACATCCCTGATATTCTCTGCACACTTAGAAATAATTAATTTTACACGTGACGGAATCCATCTTTGACATAAAAGATTAGACGTAAACAAACATGCCATGGAATATTAAGTGAGCTATATTTCACGTTTGATATGACTTAAATTTATGTCAAAATTGACGCTCGTATATGTCACTCTCAAAGCACTTACATTTACATGAATTTTTCTAAGTGTGTGGAGTGTCTGTAATTTTATGAAAATATTGAAAGATACCTCTATTTTCCTAAATTGAATGCCTTAAAGTTCTCGAAATATACACACTTAAAAATAACTATTTTTACACGAGACGTAATCCATCTTTGACGTAAATTATGAAACGTAAACAAACATGTCATGTAAAATTAAGTGTTCCCAAACCGAAACACACGCAACTCGACGAAAAGTACGATTGATTGAATTTATTTTCTCGTTTCTTTCAACTGGTTCTTATGTCATTTGGGCCGCTTGCATGTGTCGGTCTCAGGGCAAGGAAATTTACATGACTTTTTGGTAATGTGTACTTGAAGCTAATATACTAGACGTGCGCTGAACTTCCCTTAAGATTTTTAAACTCTATTGGAGTTTTGGAAACTCCTTTAAAGTTCATTTTTTCAATAATGGAACTGCCCTGAAACTCCTTGATCTACTCTAATCTAATCGAACACAAACACAGCCAGTTCTTGAAAGCATCCGGGAAAATGATATATATAGGGGAAATGCAGGTAATTTCGGCCTAAGTGTCCCTAATTTGGGCCCATACATAAATTCAGCAATCAACTAAATTTTCAATAGCAACCAAAAATATCCATTAGTAACGTCCCAATAACGCGTTCATCTAGAT